TAGTCATCGAAACCCCATCAATTCCATCACAACTAGACGTAGGCTTTTACCTTCATTGAAGGGGCCGAACTAGTATAAACCCTCTTGCGTCCCTGTGTCCGCTTTAACCCCTTCAAGCTAACCCGTCGCGATGGCTCCACGACTAAGTCCTTTCTCTAGGACATCTGCCGTGACAAAACCACGACACTTCTCAAATAGTACCTTCAAGCCACACGAGTCTGGTGGAAGTACAAACCAACATCATTTTTGGTAGCCATCGAATTAGATGGAGATAGAGGATATGTGCATTCGGATCGTTGGATTTGGAAATGATATCAGATCTGCCCTTAAGAGCGAGGTTGGTCTACAGGTTTGGGCCACCAAACTCAACAAATACGACATTTACATGCACCCAGGTCTTCAGACTTAAGGGGGTGGTAGATCCATCGAATCTTCGTTACTATCCTCGGCTCTTACATACGTGCCCTCTATGATGTCGTCATCGCAGAATCCCTTTGATCTCACAAGTGAGATCTAAAGAAAAATGAGTTGTTTGCAGTGAAGGAAATCCTTGCTTTGTTTGGTATGCTTCTGGGATTGTGGCTAATCTTCATAAATGTGAAATCTCACCAATTCGTTTCGAGGGTATTGATGTGGAAGTTTGGCTAGTTCTTTGCTGGATGACTCGGTTCCCCTACACATACCTAGTGCTTCCTCCCATGCATGTGGCTTTCACGAAGGCCGATTTACAACCTTTGGTTGATTCAATGGAAAACAAATGGGCGACCTATGATGTCTACTACGCAAGTTTATTATTGTAGACTCGTGTTGGGCCTCCAAGCGCAGAGTTTTGTAGGACAATAGCAATTTTCCCTCAAGTGGATGACCTAAGGTTTATCAATCCGTGGGAGGCGTAGGATGAAGATGGTCTCTCTCAAACAACCCTACAACCAAATACAAGAAATCTCTTGTGTCACCAACACACCCAATACAATGGCAAATTGTATAGTTGCACTAGTTCGACGAAGAGATAGTGATAAAAGTGTAATATGGATGGTAGAAATATATATTTTATAATAAAAACAGCAAGGTAGCAAATAGTAAACGGGCACAAAATCGGTATTTCAATGCTTAAAAATGAGGCCTAGGGTTCGTACTTTCACTAGTGCAACCTCTCAACAATGCTAATATAATTGGATCATATAACCACCCCTCAACGTGCAACGAAGAATCACTCCAAAGTTCCTATCTAGCGGAGAACATAAGAATAAATTGTTTGTAGAGTACGAAACCACCTCAAAGCTATTCTTTCCGTTCGATCTATTCAAGTTCGTACTAAAATAACACAAAACTATTCTTTCTGTTGGTCTATCCTAGAGTTCGTACTACAATAACACCAAAGAAAAATCATATTCATAATACTCAATCCAACACAAAGAACTTCAAAGAGTGCCCCAAGATTTCTACTGGAGAAACAAAGACAAGAACGTGCATCAACCCCTATGCATAGATTACCCCAATGTCACCTCGGGAATCCGCGAGTTGAGTGCCAAAACATATATCAAGTGAATCAATACGATACCCCATTGTCACCACGAGTATTCAATTGCAAGACATATATCAAGTGTTCTCAAATCCATATAAGTATTCAATCCGATAACGAAGAAACCTCAAAGGGAAAAACTCAATTCATCACAACAAGATAGAGAGGGGAAAACACCATATGATCCGACTATATTAACAAAGCCCGCGATACATCAAGATCGTGACATCTCAAGAACACGAGAGAGAGAGAGAGAGAGAGAGAGAGAGAGAGAGATTAGACACATAGCTACGGATACAAACCCTCAGCCCCGAGGGTGGACTACTCCCTCCTCATCGTGGTGGCCACCGGGATGATGAAGATGATTCCCCTCCTCCGGTAGGGCGCCGGAAAGGTTCTAGATTGGTTTTTGGTGGCTACAGAGCCTTGCGGCGGTGGAACTTCTGATCTAGGTTAACCCTGAGGGTTTTTGGAATATTTAGGAATTTATAGGGCGAAGAGGGGGTGCGGGAGGCCACCGAGGTGGGCACAACCCACCTGGGCGCGCCTGGGCCTCCAGGGGCATCCTGGTGGGTTGTGCCCCCCTCGGGGCACCCCCAGGTGCTGCTCTGGCCCACTGGTGGTCTTCTGGTCCATAAAAAATCCATAAAAAGTTTCACGGTGTTTGGACTCCGTTTGATATTGATTTCCTGTGATGTAGAAAATAGGCAAAAAACAGCAACTAACACTGGGCACTGGGTCAATAGGTTAGTCCCAAAAATGATATAAAGTTGCTATAAAATGATTGTAAAACATTTAAGAATGATAATATAACAACATGAATACTTCATAAATTATAGATACGTTGGAGATGTATCAACCTACAAGTCCTTATTATTCCAAACTTGCAGATTGATGTTAACTAAGATCATGTTCATGATGATGACCATTTATAACATGTTTCCCTTGCATCTCCCTCGTTGGGTCTTCAAGGCCATCACTAAGATTTGTCAAAGTTTTTTCTAGAGAGGATCTAAGGAAGCAAAGTGATGGTGTCCCGGCTAGGGGGCCTCCCACCATGTTGATCCCCGATCAGGCGGGCAGGGTTGAGGCCCCCTTTGTCAGTTTCGTCCTGGGCCACTTTGGGTGGCCCATGGAAATTTACAAGAAAAATCAAGAAGCCTTACCATTCAAGACAAGGGACTCTCCTCCATGGATGTAGACGACTAGGACTCCTGTAATCCTAGGCCTTTAGTAACTTATATAAGCTGAGGCTGGGCTAGTCGATAAAACACAACTTAGATCATCAGATTATTACACAGAACAATCTTGTGGTAGATCAATCTATACTTTTTCCACCCTAAATCAATATAACACAAGCATGACGTACGGGTTTCTCTCCTAGGAGAGCTGGACCTGGGCAAAAACTCGTGTCTCTATTACCATCGCATCAAGACTACTAGTTTGGGACCCCCTACCCGAGATCCGCCGGAATCAACTTCGTCACAAAAGGGGCATTGTTTTGTGGCCTATGAACAAATTTGCAAGCCCAAGAAATTCGACGGTTTAAGTGTTGGTCGTCCGGATTTCCTTGATAACGCATTACAAATGTGTTGGTTATGGCTTCAGAAAACAAGGTAATTAAGTGCATGGTCTGGTTTCGCTGATATCTCTCACGAGGCCACACAATTATTTCTTGCAGCAACAAACTATTCGGTTGGAAGGGGTGATTGAGTAAGCTTTTAGCATGATAGGTGGGTTGATGGATAGCAAGATATTGCTCCCAATTTATACCCATTCATTACGGCCAGTGGAGGAAAGATGGGATCGGTGGCGGAAACTTTGGAGGAGAAGCAGTGGATTGCCGATATTCGCAAAACATGGTCGATGGATGCGATCATTGAATTCATGAACCTTTTGGGGCTTGTTGCAATGGCACCTCCGAGGAATGATGGGGATTGCTTCACTTGGAGATTGACTGCAAGTGGCATCTATTGGGCAAGTTCGGGCTATGAGGCATACTTTTTCGGCACTAAGCACATCGATTACGCCAAATCCTTGTGGAAAAATCAGGCACCACTAAAGGAAATGTATTTCACATGGCTAGTCACGCGTGATAGGTGTTGTATTGTTGGCCGTCTCGCGAAGAGGGGAATACGACATCCTGCTTGCTGTTTGTTTTGTGATTAGGCACTCGGAAAAATCGATAATATTATGGTGCAGTGCCCTTTTGAGAATAACGTTTGGCTTATCTTCCCGCGCAATTTTGGGATTCAACGAGTAACACTAAGCTTGCAAGACACAGCGAGAGTTTGGTGGTGTTCGATGGACATCGTAATTCTAGGGTAAATTCCAGCAAAATGGTGATGATCATGATAGTGGACCTTCGTAAGTTATGACTGGAAAGAAATGCTCATGTATTTCATCGGAAGGCATCAACTGTTCAGAGGGTGATTTACTACGACAGACGAGTTAAGGGTATGGAAGAAAGCTTGGTGTAGAAATGGGGGTAACGGCCCCATCTATAGTGATGACGTGGGATTACATATCTTATGTTGGGGCCACAAGAGCTTGCTGTGCAGATACTTTCTCTTGTCCATACGTGTCTCTCAAATGGATGTATTTAGCACTAACTTGGTGCTAGATACATCCATTTGAAAGACAAGCTTTTTCAGACAAAGAAAGTACAAAGGAGGGAGAGTCGCGAGAAGATACAAACCCTTTGTATTAAGGTGCACAATACTTTAGAAGTTGCTCCGTTTTGAAAAAAAAAATACTTTAGAAGTTGAAGTGCTCTTACGTTCGATGACAAAATTATCAACATCTCCAATGCTTAATCAGTAAGTATCATAGTACTCTCTCCGTCCAAAATTCTTGTTTGTCTAGATACAGATATATCTAATACTAAAACGTGACTTAATATATCCGTATTTAGATAAATTAAAGACAATAATTTTTGGACGAAGGAAGTACTCCCTCTATTTCGAGTTACTCGTCGCAGAAATAGATGTATTTAGATGTATTTTAGTTTTAGGTACATCCATTTTTGCGACGAGTAATTTGGAACAGAGAGTACTAAATTGAAAAATTATCTCTAATCGTCCCGCATCGGACGGTCCAGATGAAGCAGTTATCACTTGCTACC